CTTTTGAGGGAAAAAAAGGGAATGCATGAAAGGATGAAGAAACCATAATATTAAAATTATTTTAAGTCAGTGATTTTTAAATTATTTTTGGTTGTAGATGAACATAATACCTTTATTTTACTTTTATTTATTTTTTATGTAGTGCTGAGGCTTGAACCCAGGGCCTCACACATGCTAGGCAAGCGCTGTACCATTGAACTACAACCCCAGTCCCATGACTATTTTAATAACACTCAAAGTATATTTCAGAACAAACAACATTACCAGATACAAAGAAGCTCATCTCATAGAGACAGCACTCACTTCTTTCTCTTGCCTAACTGCACTTACTCAGGATGACATATCAGATGTAATCATGTTTGTCTCTAATGGAGTTTTAAAGTATGTGACAAACTGATAGGACTACAAAGAGAAAGAGGCACACACAAAATTTTGTATTAAAAAGCATTATAACCACCACTCACTAATTAATATAATTAAAGATTCATCTTTGATCAACTAATTCACTATAATCTATGTATACATGAAAATATGACCAAAATGTCACAATACTCATTCTCTTTGAAGCGCACAGCCATTTGAAAATTATTATAATGGTCAAATAAACAAGTTTCCATTAATTCTAAAAAGCATTCAAGTTACCCAGATTTGTACACAAATCCACATAGCACTGTATTTGCAAAATCTCCAAACTGGGAATAACATAAATTTCCCACAGCATGTGAACAGGTAACAAAACTATGTTTTTAAAGTATAAGAGCATTCAGCAATACAAATTAAAAACATATATATTCTTTTGAAACAAATAACAGCATGACAAATTTTCAAATAAGTATGATGGGTTAAAGAAGTAAGATTCAAAAAGTGGACACTCTACTTGATTTCATTTACATAAAACTTCAAAATATGCAAAATTAGTAATAGAGTACAGGTGAGTGGTTGTCTGTGGAGATAGGATGTGTGGAGTTGTTGGAAAGGGAGCTTTGGGGGCTGAGGCACATGTCACCATCTAGACTATGATGATTTTTTTCATGGTTGTACATATGTATCCACACCTATCAAACTGAATTTTTTAAATATGAGTAGTTTGTTATATGTAAATGTACTATTATAAAGACATTTTAATACCTAATAGGTTAAAATGAATGTATTTTAAACTCACATTAATGTCCTTTTAAAAAACTTAAGATATCCTAATAATTTTACATCCAGTTTGTAACAATTAATATCTCATGTTATCAGAATAAATTGAAAGATACTGGACATTTGACCAAGACTCCCTACCTGGCATGTACTAGAAAACCTTGGCATGTACTAGGACACCCAAATATATCATGGTTTTCTGTTTGTGGTCACATGTCACACTGTCCAGCATATGATCTCCCTTGCAATTGGAAATAAGATTTGAATTAAATATTATTATACAGATAGAGTTAGAGATCAAGGTTGCAGAAGATATCTCCTTAGTATTTTATTGATCAAATGCTTAGTTTTTAAAGCTTCACTAATTTTTTAAAAATTGGACTAATTTACGTGGGGTTTAACTTGACTCCTTGTCCTGAGTATTCAAGATTATGCAACACTTGATATCATTCTTAACAAAGAAATCCCCAGGAGAATTTTAAGATAATTATTTCCATGATTTTGTTTTGTTCAGAGCACAGAATAGATAAATTTCACCCAAGGGATGGCTTCATGTGGTAAATATAGGTCATGCTGAGGGAGAGCATTTCCACAGACACTGTCTCCACCAAGCAATGGATGTCATCACAAGCACACATGAGAGGAGAAGAAAAGAGAATCTCATCTAAGCAAAAATTCGGGGTTGAGTAAGTCATCTCATCTCTCTAATTTTGTTTTCTAATTCTTAAAACAAGTTTATGCCTTATCTTAAAATTCCCAGTATACTTGGAGTTGAAAATACTTTTTTTTTTATCTTTTGACATTTTCAATAAACTATTTATGGGTTTTCTCCTACTATTCTGTTCCTGCTTGTATTAACAGTGCACACACCAATAAAATGTACTGCTTCAGAGATGTTGTCAGATCTATCTCAGGAGATCACAATTACTACTTTCTAATCAACATGAGCAGCTTCCTGCTACCCTAGCTCAAATGGTCCCTGCCTTTTAAAAGATTAAATACCCTAGCTCAAATGGTCCCTGCCTTTTAAAAGAGTAAATACCCTAGCTCAAATGGTCCCTGCCTTTTAAAAGAGTAAAGTTTTCCTTTGTCTGTTTGTTTAATACCAGAGAATAGATAACATTTAGCTTAGAAAGAGAAGTAGAAAGGATTGCAAACCTAATGAGAAGTGATATAAACTGAAGTCATAAGATTAAAACGGATAACCTTAGAACAAAGGAAAATATTGTGAGCTACTAGACTAGTTCTGTGTATCTCATGAGCATACATTTCAGGCAACCTATTATATTTTCTAAATCCTAATATATTCTTGCAAAAATACAAATATTGAGAATATCACAGAGTTTAGAGATTTTATAGTTAAAAAATCTTTGCAGATGAAGAAAAAAAACTTTATTACATCTAGAGAGAAACAAATACTTTTGTTACTGAATTAATTTTTTTTATTTCTGTATTTTAATACTCCTAAAAGAGTAACTCAAACTGTCTCCTTTTCCAGTGTTCAGTTTTATTAGTACCAAAACTAACATTAGCCCCTTTTATGAAAATTATTTCTAAATTAAAGATCAGAATTCCAAAGATGCTTTAATAGAATGTCCTATTGCCTCTAGTTTCTCTAAAATAGTAATAGCCCCTTCTGGAAAAAAAGGTGAAAAGTGAAACAGTGATTATGCTCTTGGAAGACCAGTAGCATGTCTAATACACCAATCACATTTGAATACCCTGCACTTGCTGAATAGAAGAATGTGACATTAGAGAAAATATCAGCAGTAAGTCTTTTAAAGAAAGGGAATTGCATACATTTTGCTAACAGAATTCAACAGAGCTGTAAAAGTGTTGCCCATAGCTCTGGAAACAGAATGGTTTTGAGATCCACTATAAACAAAAGTTAAAGGAAATAACTAATATTTATTAACATACTCACAGTACTTGAAGATATTATGTGTTTTCTGTATATATTTTTTAACTTATTTATGAAATGTATTAGGTTGACTATGATTATTTTATGGATAAGGAAATGGAAACAGAAGTAGATTTAATATAGGCTAAAAGATCAAAAGGGACAGAGATTTCAGTAGTATATAATGTTAAAATCTAGGGTTATTCTATTAAAAATTGGTTAATATTAATATAGTAATAATAATAATTTGTCCATCAATATTTTGAATATAACAGTTATAAAACTAATTTTCTTTAAAATACATCTTAAAAACATACATAGTCATCTTTTAGCAAATTATTCTCTCAAACACATTTGAAATTATGCTTTGTCCATTAATTGTTATCTATGTAACTTATTCCAACAGAAACAGAGTTAGTTTTGAAAAGTATACTTGAAAATTTATTGTTTACAAGAAATTAATTTTGATAAAAGTTCAGATTGTTCAAATTTTGCAGGAGGCATGAATCTATTTGGTGAAATATTAGTTGATTTTCTTTATAATTTGAGTAAATAGAGCTGAAAATATGTGTATTTACAAATTATGAGACTATTAATCTGTGTCTCCTTTTCCCTAGCAAACTTTGTGTTGCTTAATTCCTTTAGGAAATGTTCTTTATTCCTTCTATTTGTTCTTCTATCTTCCTCTCTTCTTTCTTCCTTATATACTTATTCTTCTAACTCCTCAGTAAAAGAGGAGGAGGTACTAACTCAGAAAACAGTAATGGTTTTTATTATTAACACTATGCTTGACCCCATCCTGGTGATTTCCAGAGGTAAAAGAAGATGAGACACACAAATTAAATAATACCAAGGAGATTTAAGGAAGGGAGGAAAATGGGCAATTATTTTTCTACCATTAATCTTGAAAAACAAATTGTCATTTTACTTAAGACATCAATATAAGCAATATTGGTGTAACTTCACGTTCATACTCAGCATTACCAAAAATGTATTTAATTTACTTATGTATGTAATTTATTCCTAGCTTATGGATAATATATAGTTGATAGACAGCCAGCCAGATACATGACATTTTTAACTTTCATGTTCAGGAGACTAATATTTCAAAGCCTAGATATTTCATTAAATACTTTAATATAATTTCTATTGATAATCTTGAGTTATATGTACCTTTCAGAGTCCATCAAGATGGAACCTAAGTCTGAATTGCCTTCACTTTGGTTAAAACATTTCTACATGACTCTATATTAATATTGTTTCTAATCCATTCAGTTCATAAAATAAACACTTTTAAAATTTTTATTAATGATAAATTATGCACACAGTTTTGCATGCAGATCATTATGCCAGGATATTGATTACTTGGCCTTGAAGGTATTTACTATATGAGTTTCTCTCATAAAGGTTGTCCCAACATTTATTTTTGAGGGAACAACTAAAAATTTAATTTTATGATGTCATATAGTAGAGGTTCCATTGAGGCTTGAAGTAGTTGTTACACAGATTACAAGAAAGTGTAAGATTCTATCATATAATTTATACTGAATTTCAAAGTGTTTCCCATCATCTTCCCAAGTATATGATTTAATTTTTGTTATATAGTATAATGATTGCTGGTGCTACACTCAGACCTATTTTCCAGGTGACTACCATAATTTTTTTAATCCTTTCATAATCCTTTTCTGCTTTCCTTACTGGCTTCTTGGGAGAGTGCTTGCTCAGCAAATCATTTGCAAGACAATCTCTCTTAATGTCTTGGAAAGTTAGCTTCTCTTTAGGGCATAATACAATTCACATTTAGCCAAGATTTCTCCTGAAATCATACTTTCTAATTTCAGATATAGATGATAGATTTCAATGTGCATATCAACTTCTGAAAGTTAAATACATTTTCTCATTCTACTATTTAATAATCTATCCTCCTCTCTAGGTTATTTCAGAGGGAACACTGAATGAAATGGACGGAGAAAATCAGTCTGTAGTGTCAGAATTTGCACTTGTGGGACTTGGACACTCATGGAATATGAAGGTGTTACTTTTCATGATATTTTTGATGCTTTATTTTGTCATTGTAACTGGAAATATTGTCATCGTGACCTTAATCATCACTGACCCTCATCTCCATTCCCCCATGTACTTCTTTTTGGCCAACCTGTCCTTTGTTGATATGTGGCTGTCCTCAGTCACCACTCCTAAGATGATCACAGACTTTCTCAGGGAGAACAAAACCATTTCCTTTGCAGGTTGCATGTGCCAGATCTTCTTTGCCCATTTCATTGCAGCAGGTGAGATGGTGCTCCTGGTGGTCATGGCCTATGACCGCTATGTGGCCATCTGCAAACCACTCCACTACTCCACCATTATGAACCTGCAAAAGTGCATTGGGTTGGTGGTTTCTTCCTGGACAGTTGGCTTTGTGCATGCCATGAGTCACATAGTTGTAATTGTGCGGCTGCCTTTCTGTGGCCCCAGGGAAATTGACAGCTTCTTCTGTGATATGCCTCTGGTGATCAAGCTGGCATGTATGGATTCCTATAATTTAGACCTTTTAATGAATGTTGAATGTGGATTCGTAGGCATAACCTGTTTTATTCTCTTGCTGATATCTTACACATATATTCTTCTCAGTGTTCACCAGAAATCTAAAACTGGTGCATCTAAGGCCCTGTCCACCTGCAGTGCCCACATCTCAGTAGTGGTGATCTTTTTTGTACCTTGCATCTTCATCTATGTGTGTCCACTCAATATCACCTGGTTAGACAAATTTCTAGCTGTGTTTTACTCTGTTTATACACCTCTTCTCAATCCAGCTATTTATACTATGAGAAATAAAGAGATGAAAATTGCTATGAAAAGACTCTGGAGCTATTACATGGGTTCCCAGGGAAAGACTTAATGCCCCAAAACTCATTGCATGTACTTCACGGTGACAATGCATTGATCCTATAAAATAGGCTTAAATTCAGGGAATTCAGTTTATGTCTACAATTACTTCTAGTCTCCATATGCAATTATATATTCAATGTAATTCAAGGAATTTAACATTTACTGATCAAACAGAAACACTCTTACATATTTCCATAAAATCCATATATGAAAGATCCTTCTTTGGGGGGTAAATTATTGGACTCATCTGCCTATATCACTAACAATGTGAAGAAGACCCTAAAATTGGTTTAACTAACTCATATGTCCATCCTGATGAGTAAATTTCAAGGAACTTCCTTTGAATATTGTCATAACTTCACTTTTTAAAATTTATTCTGTGCAGGTGCACTGGTGCACTCCTATAATCCCAGCAGCTCAGGAGGCTGAGTCAGGAGTATCATGAATTCAAAGCCAGTCTTAGCAAAAGTGAGGCAGTAAGCAACTCAATGAGACCTTGTCTCTAAATAAAATACAAAATAAGGCTGGGGATGTGGTTCAGTGGTTGAGTGCCCCTGAATTTAATCCCCGGTACCCTGCCCCCCACCCCCACAAAAAAATTCTATGCCTCAACACTTCCCTTCAAATCTTCCTCTTAACACTTTGTCAAATGCTAACTTCATTGTTGTAATTTTGCCTTACTCTAGATTCCCATCAAAATATTAGTGGGGGAAAAACAGAAAAAAATAAAGAGGGAATAAAATAAAAGTCATCAACTACACCAGGAATAACTGGTTTGGGTTTCATTAATTTAATTAAATTAAAATAGATGAATACATAAATAAAAGCTAATGCTATTTTTTTTTTAGTTATCTCAGTCCTAAGGACTAGAATGTACTCTTTAAATTATTATTTACCATTTCTGTAAAATACTGAAATATAATCTCAGGGAAAGTAAGCTTAGCATGTTACCTTATTAAAATACAACATATAATATACTGGCTAATACATAATAGACAACAAATATACTTCAAAAAATCAATGCAGTCCCGTTGTTCCATTCAAATACTTATGTCATTTATTTCTCAATGAATATTGAAGTATACATTTTGGCCTTTAAAATATTTTTAAAAGTGTCAAGTATATACAATAGTTATTTTATTTCTTCCAGAATTATACATTAAATGGATTGAAATTGCTATAAAAACAATAAAAATCCTAAAGCAGAAAGATGGAGAATAAACAAATTATATTTTTATTTTAAAAAGAGAGCAAAATATAACAAAATGGTAGAATTAATGCATTTATCAGCCTTGACTACCTATTCTGTTGATCATGTTATATCTATCATTATCTTAAAGACTTTGCTTATTGTCCTCAAATTGTGAATTATTGAACACAACTTAGATCAAATAAATATTAAATTTCCTCATAAAACTACAGTCATATTTTCTTTAAATAAGGCTTCAGAAGACAACTTGATTTCAAGACTATTTATTAAATGACGTTGCAGAGTGCAATAAAACATTTTCACAAAGCACATAAAAGAATACCCATGCAAAAAGTAAAATTCCAAAAAGTCCCTATTGAGCACACAAAATAAAAAGAAAATTGTTGGAAATGTCAAAATTCACAATATTGTTTGATTATAGAGTGTAGGTAGTAAACAGTTTGGATCATGCTCACTGAATTGTAAGCCTGAGCATATGCCACTACACACACAACATTAAAGGGCTAGAAGTGAAATATTTGACTTTCTAGCTTACTCATAATGTCAAATCTTCCATGAGTATACTAATTTAATCACTTAGTTATAATCATTGTATATTTTAAATAAGTTTGTTCCTATCTAGAATGCTGAGTATCTTTATATCTCCATATGCCCTTAGGTGGGAATTTTTATAATTTCATGAATCTTTAGAAATAATGGTATAAGAATAAAAAACACAGCTTACAATATGCTTTAGTCTGACTTGGCAAAACAATATTCAAGTAGTCCATATGCTAAACTGAAATATTTTATTCACTTCCTGCTATGCTATTCAAACTTAGTATTTATAAATTAATCAGAAAGATGAGTTCTGGATAATCACCACTAATCTATTTTTAAGAGAAGCTTGTACATGTATATTTTATTAAGATATTGAAATGACATTGATTTAAATGAAAATAAACTGCATCTTTAGGAAGTCTGTCACTTTTTTTTTCTGTGTAAGCAGAATGATTTGACCCTTATTGTGAGCCCAAGGTTGAATTTCTATCTTTTCAGCAAACTGATTCCTGCATCAGCACACACATGTGGTGCCACCTAAGAAAATAGTAACTTTGTGTTTCATGATCTACCTGCACTGCAAATTGGTACAACCTTTCTGGAAAGCAGTACAGAGATTCCTTAGAAAACTTGGGATGGAACTACCACTTGACCCAGTTATCCTTCTCCATTTATACCCAAAGGACTTAAAATCAGCATACTACAGTGACACAACCACATCAGTGTTTATAACAGCTCAATTTGCAATAGCTAAACTATGGAACCAACCAACAACAGATGAATGGATAAAGAAAATGTGGAATATATACACAATGGAACATTACTCAACCTTAAAAAAATAAAATTATGGCATTTGAAGGTAAAAGGATGGAGTTGGAGAATATTATGCTAAGCAAAGTAAGCCAGTCTCCCAAAACCAAAGACCAAATGGTTTCTCTGCTATGCGGATGCCAATTCACAATAAGGGGGTGCAGGCAGCTAGGGGCTAGGGAAGGATGGAGAAACTTTGGGTTGGGCAGAGGGGAGTGAGCAGTGGGCAGGGGGTGAGGAGTGGGAAGGATGGTGGAGTGAGATAGATGTTATTATCCTATGTACATGTATGACTGCACGGATGAACAGGGTGACTCTGTATTGAGTACAGTCAGAGAAATGAGAAGTTGTGCTCCATTTGTATGCAATGAGTAGAAATGCATTCTGCTTTCATGTATAATTAGAATAAATAAAAAAATAAAATTGGGAATAAAAAAAAAAAGAACACGAGGGGATCCAACATGGTGGCGGGCGGAGAGGCAGCGCTTACAGTACCCCCTCAGTGATGGGGTCAGAGAGACGCATAGATACGCTTAGATTCTACCTGCGGAGAATCTCCTAGCAAAATTCCACTGAAGAGAGACCGGCCGGGAGTTACTAGGATTTTTGGAGGTGACAGTTTGCCCCAGACGAGTGGATCCCCGCCAAGAGATGCAGAGGTCCAGACCCGCCAGCCATTGTCCGTGTGCCACGCTGTGGCCGCCCGCCTCGCCGCGGCCACCCGCCCGCAGCCACTGTGACTGGGTGGCTAGCCTCCGAGACGCAGATTGGCAGGAAGAGGTCTTTAGCCAAGCCTTCATGAAATAGCGAGCCGGGAGCTGAGGCCAACCGGGGATGGACCTGTCCCAACCCTCCCTTCGGACACTCCGGCAAGGAGCCTGGGGCCCGCCATAGCAGAGAGGTGACGTCACCGGAGTTCGGCCGACGGAATTCCTTCCCAGCGGAATCCACTTTAGCAGGTGTGTGACTCCCACCCCATCCAGATACAAGCATCCAGGGAACCTCAGGGATCTCTCTGGGGGCGTGTCTGTAGGGAAGCAGAGGGGATTCCTGATCCCCAACCCCCCATATCACCAGCGGCAACTCCCAAGGTCTTAGCCGCCAGTTTACCATAGCACTGGGGCTTAAATGGGACACGCGGTGGGGCTGCAAGTGTAACTAGATCTTTGGGGAACTGCTTCCAGTGAACAGGACCTGGCTGGCCGGCTGACAGGAGGAAGGGGGGGAGGGGCTGGAGAAGTGAAACGGCGCTGGACTGACAACATTGAGAGACTCCCAGGAGCCGCCTTACAGGGATTGCTATCGGCACATAGAGGGCAGAAGCTTGGCTCGGAGGGCACAGCTCCGCCTACTGGAAGAGAAGAAAATGGATCTCTAAGACTTCAATTTTTTCTTTTTTTTTTCTTCTCTCTCTGTTCTTTTCTGCCCTTTTCCTTTTTTCTTTCTTTCCCATTTCAAGTTTTATTGTTCTTTTCATTCTCCTCTAATCTATCTCTCTCTCCTCCTTTCTTTTTAAGAGCACCTTCCTTCCCCTACCCCCCAACTTTCATCCCAAGCATTACGGCTTCCATTACATGTAATTGTCTAAATGCAAATAGGTGAATGTTTCGAGGTTGTCTATAGAGCTCCTAAATACCTAGCTACTACCAACACCTTGATCCAATCGCCTGTTAGTATCCCCCTTCAGTAGAGCAATCTTCTAAAGTAGCCAAGACTTACTAACCCTCATACCATCATAGCACCTAACCTAAACATAAAGTCCTAAGAACAAACAACAAATCACTATATTCATACAGAATCCGGAAGCCTTTTATGAATTGAATGAATCAGCTTTAAAGTACAATAAAGCCCAACATTTCTAGGCATAGTCTCCCACCACAAAGGAGAGACAACAGAGATATACAAAACCAAAACAAATTTATAGGAGAAAGCAGATACACAGCAGTCAAACAGAGCTGGAAAGTAAAGTGAACAACATGAAAAAACAAGGGAAAAAAGGATTACAAACAATGCAGGACAACTTAAATCTACAGGAGGACCTAGAAGCATCAGAAACATGGACAGGGAAAGAACTCAAGGCATACCTACCTCAGATGGAATGGAATATTAGAGAAGACATGAGACAGCAAGTCCAAGCAATGAAAGTATATTTTGAAAATGAATTAAACAAACAAATTCAAATGGCAAAGAACGAGCTTTAACAGGAGATAGATATTTAAAAAAAAATCAAACAGTAATCCTAGAAATGCAGGAAAACATAAACCAAATTAAAAACTCTAGCGAGAATATTACAAATAGACTAGATCAAGTAGAAGTCAGAACATCAGATAATGAAGACAAATTTATCAACTTGAAAAGAATATAGTCAACACAGAAAGGATGCTTAAATCTCATGAGCAATCTATCCAAGAGATATGGGATGTCATAAAAAAACCAAACTTGAGAGTCAT